TCTTAGGACATGCTGGATAGTTGACTCACACTGGCCTTCGGGTAAAGATGGGGTATGCGTTTCTGTAATAGTTTAGTTTTTCTTTACTTAATTTTATTTTGTTTAGATTTCTTTACTTGTATGAATCGTGAAGCTAGTTCTTTTTATTTTTTATGTTTATTTTCTATATTTGATATTTGTAATATTGTTCGATTTGTTTATTGTACTTTTCGTTTAAATTTAATAATAAAAGATAAAGTCATAAGACTGTTTGCTCATAATCACCAAATATGGACTGTCCCAAATGTGTGACTATAAAGAGAGTTGACTGTAACTCACAAGTAAACTTTAAGTACTGAAGTAAAAATACATTTTATGACATAACTCTGTCAATATTGAAGCTAGGGATTCGATTTTACTATCATTAGAATCCTCTCATCGAGATGAATTTAATGATATATATTTTATTAAAATCAAATAACTGGTTATATTAAAAACAGGGGTATGTGTGATAACAAAATTTTGAAATACCTCTGTAATACGCAACTTTTGAAAATTTTAATATAAACTCTACGCAAACCTCAAATGTGAGTTGTATCAGTATTGTTCAGGATTCTCTATGAGCTGTACACAGAGACTTTTTATATGAGTAATATGCATAATTGACACCTAATATTGAAAATCCTGCAAAAATACGCAAATAAAATTTCAGACATTAAGTTATTAATTATTTTATCATGACTTTTATATTATTTATAAAACCAAATACTAATGTGAAAAAATAGAATTTATTCTAATTTACCATTTTTTTAGATGAAAAATTCTTAGATTGTACGCAAATCAAAACTTTACTTTTTCTAATTTCACTATGATGGTGACGCATTTGTGTATCCTACCCCTATATATATATTTCTGAGTCCTACAGTATCATAGACTTTAATATAAAAATTGTCATTCTCAAAGTTCTATGAAGATGTGTCTAAGAAAATATCTAGTGCCAGAATTATATTTGATAATCCTTTAACAAAATTTTTATATGGCAGATTTTAGATTTCTAGAGCCTAGGTCTGAAAATAAGAAACTTGCGGATAAGACCATCCATTTCATCCAAATTTCAAATTGACGAATGTTGGATAAAAGTTGGTCTAAATTCGGCCAATCATTACCAAAAAAATCGTCAAAATTATTATGAATGATTTGCACAGTTCACCTGCCACTTGTTAACAAATCGATCAGTAGAAATTGGCAACAAATTGGTAAAATTAAATTGATGATTGTTAATAAACCTAATAATTTATTACTGATTTTTGTATATTTAACTGATTATTGATTTTAATTTTATAATAATTTATTAATTAAATTTTATTAATTTGTTTTATTAAAAATTACATATTAAATTAATATATAGCTATCTATTATCTATATACACCATCCATCATCATTCACCATCCATCATCCATCATCCACCCATCATCTTCACCTAACTTAATAAAAATCTGTAGAAAACTTACAAAAAAAAGGAGGAAACGGTTAGTAATCTACCTATTTTTAAATAAAAAAATTGAAGTTTCAAAAGAAACTTACCTGATTTGATAAAATTCAAAGGGGAAACCTACAAAAAAAAGTAAAGAAACGGTTAGTTCGTTTCTTTAATAATAATAAAAACTGAAGTTTCAAAAAATTTGAAACTTATCAATCCAATAAAGTCCGAAGAGAAAAATCTACAAAAAAAAAGAAGAAATAATTAGTTTAATGTTTTTTCAATAAAAAAAAATAAAGTTTCAAAATATTGAAACTTACCCCCAATTCGTTAATGGAAACCTACAAATAAAAAAAGAAACGGTTAATTCATTTCTTTAATAAAAAAAATAAGTTTTGAAAATTCAAAACTTACCTGCCCATCCAATAAAGTCCGAAGAGGGAAATCTACAAAAAAAAGAAGAAACAATTAGTTTAATGTTTCTTCAATAAAAAAAAATCAAAGTTTCAAAATATATTCAAAACTTACCCTCAAATCGATAATGGAAACCTACAAAAAAAAGAAACAGTTAGTTCGTTTCTTTAATAATAATAAAAACTGAAGTTTTGAAAAATTTGAAACTTACCAATCCAATAAAGTCCGAAGGGGAAATCTACAAAAAAAAAAAGAAACAATTAGTTTAATGTTTCTTTGATAAAAAAAAAATCAAAGTTTCAAAATATATTTGAAACTTACTCCCTTACCCCAATTCATTAATGGAAACCCAAAAAAAAAAAAAAAAATAAAGAAAACAGTTAGTCCGTTTCTTTAATAATAATAAAAAATAAAGTTTCAAAATACACATTAAAACTTACTCGTCTATTTCTCAATAATAGTACGAAGAAGAATTTATAAAAAAAATAAAGAAACCGTTAGCAAACCGATTCTTTTATAAAAAAAATCTCAAAAAGTTTTGAAATATTTCAAAACTTATCTGATCCATCAGCTTGAAGTGAAAGCCTACAAAAAGAAGAAAGAAATAATTAGTAAATCGTTTCTTTTAAAGTTTCAAAATTAACCCAACTTCAAAACTTACCATTGACTAATTCATGCCCTAAACTCTAATATCTATTATACTTTGAGGGTATCTTGAACCTACAAAAAAAAAGAATGAAAATATTAGTAAACGTTTCGTTAAATAATTTTTTTAAAAAATCTAACTCGTTCCTACACGTCTAAAAGCTGAATAACTAAAAAAAAAATTGAAATTAGTTTATTAAGCGAAAACAAGGAAAATAAAAAAAAATAAAAACTTACCGAAATACGGTATCCAAAGAGCTGAGGCATCACCTAAAAGAAGAAAGAGGGAATGGACGAAAGAAAGGGGAAAGGGAAAGACGAAAAGTGAGAGGAAAAGGGAGACGAAAAAGTGAGTAGAAAGGGGAAAAATGAAAGGATGACAAAGGAGTGTGTGGAAAAGTAAAGTGAGTGAAAAGGGAAGATGAAAGTGTGAGAAAAAAAAAGTTTAAATAAAGTTAATAGATTTTTGCCATTGGTCAAAAAATGTAACGAATCACATGACCAATCGGCAAAAATTATGCCGAAAGCTCTTAACAGTCAAAAGTTTTGATTTCGACCAGTGGTATTAGCCGATTTTTAATAATGACCAGTGTTTGGCAATTTTTTTTTAACAATTAGATGATTGGTGAATTTTAAATGGTTCTTAAGACCAGAAATAGGTGATAAATTGGCAAACCTAATTTTGGTCAATTTTCATCCAGTTTTTAATGCAGGCTGGAACTTTACCAAAACTTTAGCCTGCATTACCGAAACTTGGCTGGTATGGTTTATTGCCAATTTTTCTTATTTCGACCAGTGGATTGCAAAATTACAAATTTACGCTGAAATGAAACTATACTTTGCAGACGTTTTACAGAAACTTCAAGTTTTCAAACAATATTATTTTAATATTATTTTGATATTAAAATGATATTAAAATAATAATTGAAGTAACATCAAAATAATATATTTAAGTTTAATTTAAAGATATCATTTTAATGTCATTTCAGATATCATTTTGATATTAATTTAATATTGATTCAATATTAATATGATATCAAAATGATAATACTTTATTTTGATATCACATCGATATTAAATTTATACATGCTGCCCAAATTATTTTGGGATGCCATAATTCATTCGGTTTATATATAATTTACTATGTAAAGTGCCAAAATAATTTGGGATGCCATAATTGAATTTGGAATTTTACTTATAATTACGGCAGTCCAAAATAATTTGGGTGGCATGTATAATTAAATTAATATTGAATCAATATTGAAATAATATCAAAACAATATTATTAAGATAAAGTTAACAATATCAATTCTATATTGATTAAAAATGTTAAATTTCTGTAAAGACATTTTTGATGAATATTTACAAGTAATGACCTGTAAAGCAAAAAAAATCAATAAGTTATTTAGCTATGAATATGATCCTGTAATTCTGAAAAAGATTAATGGTATTATATCAGATATATAGTTAATCAGATTATCTGTAATACTAACAAAGTTCAAGGCTCACTAATCCTCAAATTAATTATATTATAGAACAGGTCAAATCTAAGACAATCACTGAGCAGAAAGCATGGCTATTACTTCAGCTTATGATTCTAATTCAGATGATTCTGAAATTAATGAATCTAACTCTGATACTAATAAATCTGATTCTAATATATATTTCAAATTTAATAATTTTGACTCTAATAATGAATATAATTATAAACTTCATGAAAAGCTTCAGTTATGCATGAAAAAATAGCAAAAATAGTGAAGTTAGAGAATAAAACATTAACTAAACTTAAAGAGTGGTCACAAAATGACTCTCAAGTAAATGATGATGATTTTGATAAAATACTTATAAAAATTCACAAAAACCATAATGTATATTTTGATGATCTAAAAGGGTTGATCACCCTTGGCTCATTGGTTAGTCCGTGAGTCCTCTCATGAAGCCTGAGTATGGTGAGGTCGCAGGTTCGATTCCACCAATCACAGAAATTAAAAGAATTTTACTGCAGACACTACTACCAATAGTGTGAAAGTACAGGGATTAGTGTAGGCTGGACTGCATCATGATAAATTAGTATGTACCGGTCGGCAGCATATTTCAACAAAGGGTCATGGTATCCTCTTAGCGTTCCTTATGAGGCCATTGGGAAGCCTATTGTCCTGTCTGGATGGTCACTACTTGCATACCATCTGGGTGAGCTCTTGTCTTAGTGGTCACTCTACAATACCACTAAGGATGTGGTAAACCTTACTATAGGGGTTTACTACACTAGATGGTCCTCATAGATAGAGCTTCAAAAATGACTCGCATAAACTTGCATTTTTGACTCGCATAATTGTAAATTTTCGTTTAATTATATTCCAACTTAATAAAAGTACTTTAAAATTAAGGTTTTTGACTCGTGACTCAACTCAACTCAACTCATTAGAAGCTCTACTCATAGATGGTAAAGTCTCAAGTGCAATGTCTTAGCAGTAGTTTACCTTCTAATAGGTTTAGGCTGATTGGAGACGTTCGGTTCTAAGGTGAGGTTTGAATTTGACGTACTGGTGGGTGATCCTTGGGTAACTGGATTGGTTACTTATAATAAAGGGGTGATCCCAATACCCTTAGCAGCTTACTGTCCTAGTAGTCACTACTATTACTACTGGGGGATTTACAACTATGGTAGGCTGGTATGGTAATCGCGGCCTGTAGTGGGCTTTGAGTGAGGCCATATTAGTAGTCTTAGTATTGCAGTACCTCTAAGCTAACCATCATGGAAGGACTTCTAGATGTCTGCTCCGTTATATCTGCCGTACGTGGGTGGTTGCTCACTTCTGACAGGCGCTAGTGGGTAGTATAACTGTGTCAGAACCCTGCTACACTATGATCCATTCTTGTGTGGGTATAAACTTGGGTCATCTTCCCAGTGTGATATATAGGGGGTAGGGGGGATGTACATCCGGTTACTTCTAATAATTAGAGTAGGTGTTTAGTTAGCTGTCGCTCAATGGTAGGAGTGCATTTCCACAACTTTAGTTGTAGTGCTCCTTCCATGTAGCTCTGGTGAACCGGCTATGCTGATGTCTCCTAAAAATAAAAAAAAAAAAAAAAAAAAATATTTTGATAGATAATACGGGTAGAATTATGAAATTAACTCTAAAAATCTGATAAAGAATTATCAAAAGATCTTATACCTGTCTCTTATACACATCTAGATGTGTATAAGAGACAGCATCATCTCTCTGGTGACTACCTAAAAGTAATATTGGGAGAATTATTTATTCACATAGATTGGATTATTGTATAGTTTTTTTCTTTTTTTAAATTATGTAAGTGGCTTAAATAGCATGTAAACGTTATCTATATTTTTTTTTAGCATCCTATAGTAAAACATTACTGCTTCATTATTAGCAGTGCTTAAAATAGATGATAAAATTCCGGTGAAAACCGGAATTTTCAAAAAATCACTGGTAAAAATTTTTATATTTCAGATTTTTTTCCAGAAAATTTTTAAGTTTAACGGATTTTTGTCCGGCAAAATTTTTTGTATATCGGCATTAAATAAAATCATAAATTATCAATTTGATAATCATTTGCGATTTTTGATTTTTACGTTACTGTTAAAAAATGTCTATCGAGCAATATTTTAAGACAAAAATGCCTAAGGAAGACGTAGAATTTGACAATAATGAATCTAGTGAAGTAGATTCGGATTTAGAAGAAGCTGATATTGAAGTACCAAATAATTATAGACGCGCAACACAAAAAAAATTAAATTTAAAAAAAAAGAAAGTGCAACTTTTATCAAAGAGAAAAACAGGAGTTTTTCAAAATGAATGGTTAAATATTTATAAGTGGTTGATATATGATGGATCAAGAAATCTAATGTTTTGCTCACTATGCCAAAGTCATAAAAAACAAAATAAGTTTAGAAAAGAAGGTATGTAGTTTTTTTTATTTTATAAATAATTAATTTAATTGTCTATTATTATAATTTAAATTAAAAATAATTATTTTAAATTAGGTTCAAAGGATTTTAAATCTTCCGCACTATCAGAACATTTCACAACTAAAGATCACACTGATGCAACAAATCGGGAGATTGCAAAGGTAGAACTTATTAAGGTTACCAACAATGCTATAGATAGGGCTCAAAATCACGTTAGTGTTTTAATGAAGATAATATTTTGGCTAGCAGAAAATGATATTTCACTAAACAAATTACCTGAAGTTGTAAGACTATGTAGAATTCTTGATTGTCCACAGCTATTATCAGCTTCTAATACAATTACTTATGAAAATAATGTATCTGGACGTGAAATTTTATCTGCTATTTCAAATTCAATAGAAGAAATTATTTGGAAAGAATTGGCTGAAGCAGCTGCATTTGGAATTATGGTGGATGAAAGCACAGATATTTCATGTGAATCCCATCTTATTATATATGTTAAATACTGTTTGTATGGAAATATTAAGATTCGTTTTTTAAAATTAATACAATTAAAAAGCAAAGATTCAAAAACTATTTTCAATGCAATTGTTGATTTATTTGATAAAAAAGGCAAGTTTTTAAATAATATTGTATATTATTTTATTTAATTTATAAATTTTATAATTAACTCAGTTTTTTTTTTACAGGTTTAACAAATAAACTTATGTCATTTGCTTCAGATGGAGCAAGCGTTATGTTAGGAAGATCAACTGGAGTAGCATCAAGACTTAAAGAAATAAATGAGTGTTTATTTATAACACATTGCATTGCACATAGACTTGCTTTAGCCTGCAATTCTGCCGAAAAAAAAGTAGATTTTTGCAAACATGCTGAACATGTTATTAGGTCAGTTTACACTTTTTTTTCTAATTCTACCAATAGAATAGATATTTTACATAAATATCAAGAAATACTAGAGCATCCAATTTTGAAAATTAAGCAAATTTATGAAGTTAGATGGCTTTTTTGGTATGAAGCAATCAAAAATTTATGTCTTTCTATTGAACCTTTGATGGATACATTATTGGAAACAATAACTTCAACGCCTAATAATTCTCAGAGACAAAATTTTATTTCTTTATATGTAGAAATTTGTGATTGGAAATTGCTTGCTTTTTTGCATTTTTTATGGGATATTCTTGGTTATCTTTCTACGTTAAGTAAAATTTTCCAACGAAAAAATATTCAAATATCTGATATAGATCCAATTATAGAGCTAACTCTCAATAAAATTCAACAACAATTTTTGGATTATGATGATGATGGAAAATTATCATTAGGCGAGCATTTAAATAAATTTTTATCACATTTTTCAGAAGAAGAAAATAATTATAGTATTAGCGCACATCAATTGTTATGGAATGAAAATTACGAAGCTGATTTAATTGCTGATATTTTATCATTTGCATCAGCTGTTGTTTTAGAGATCCAAGAAAGATTTCCTGATAGACCTTTACTTAATTCTATGAAAATACTTGATCATGCAAACTGGCCAAGTAATAAAGAAGAACTCACAAATTATGGGGAAGAGAAATTAAATATGTTGTCAGAATTTTACAAAAAAGAAATTAATAACATTTGCGGAGAATGGTTTGGGTACAAAGCTATAATACATTCAAATTTTAGAAATATAAAAATTGAAAAATTACTTCCAAGATTATTTGAATTTTACTATGATACTTTTCCTAATATTATTAAATTATTAGGAATTATATACTCAATTCCTTTCTCATCTGTTGATTGTGAACGTGGTTTTTCTAAACAGAATTTAATAAAAACTGATTTGAGAAATTCTTTAAATAACGAGACATTACATTATTGGATGATGGTTGGATTAGAAGAAACAGATTTATCTGAATTTGATTTTACTAGAGCATTGCAAATCTGGAATAGTGCTTATAAACGAAGAATTTAATTTTTTTTCAATAAAAAATATAAATTTTCTTTAATAAAAAATGTAAAAATACAAATTTAAAAATAAATTTTTTTTACTAAAATTTATAAGCCGGTAAATTTTATGAAATTCCGGATCCTTGTCCGGTAAAATATTTTCATTCCGGATTCTTGGCCAGTAAAATTTGATTTCTATTTTAAGCACTGATTATTAGTATTATTAGTTCATATGAATTATATTTGCAGAATATTCTATGTGTAACAATACATTACTGGCATCCGCAATTGTAGAATCTATCAATATTTTTATGTCTATACTGGCTAATGAACTTCCCTCAAAGTTCTGGTATATTCTATTTCACCCATTTACACAGTACTGAATTACTAATAAAAAAATCACGTTCCTAATTTTCATGTAGATCATAAAACAGGATGTCATTAAAAAGAAATTCAAAAATAGAAATAGAGCAATTAGAATTTATAATTTGCAAATCTTCAGATAAACGATAACTTTTTATTATTTTACTGATGTTAACGCATTCAAATTACGTGTACAGGCTAATCACATATTAATCTAATTTTGAAAATTCTTTATTCTAATAATATATGATAAATAGTAGGTAATTTTTATTTTATTTAATTTAATCAGATTAAATTCTCATTTCAATGTACAGTAAAGTGTTTTGCTAATTGTGTTGTTAGAATGAAATGAAAATAGATATATTACTATTATAATTTTTTAGCAGTTTTATCAGCTTACAAATAAGCAGTATATGGAATTTTTGCAATAGAAAGGTACGAAACTCAAAAAAAAATTTTAATTTACTTTATATGCTAATTATATTTTTTTTACTGAAATAAATGCAAATTTAATATTAATTCAATTTTTGATATTTTTTGAGTTTTGTACCTTTTTATTGCAAAGATCCTATATTATATTTGAAAAAGGGCTAAAGCATTATTATAAATCATTCACATAATCAAGAATATGGATTACAGTTAACACATACATCTCCTTTTTTTCTAGTTCGCTTATTGATGATCATAGGTTATCAGGAAATTTGCATCAATACTTTTAATAATTTTATTCCTAAAATAGCTAATTTTTTGCAAAAATAATTATGCAGATTTATATGATATTTTTTATAAATATCTTAAATATCTTGCCTATTTTTTCCTTTTATAATTCGATCCTTATTAGAAAATATTCATTATAAAACAATTTTAAATTGAACTGCATTACAAACGAATAAAACTCTCACTTTCTTATATACTTGAAGTAAGAAAAAAAAAAATTTTTCCTTTACCTTTAGTCTATACACTATAAGCAGTTTACTGAAGTGAAAAATGTCTTGCTAGGTATATATTATAGTATTATAGTTCTTTCTTTAGTCTACGGATATCATTTTTCAAGCATGAATGAAATAAGTAAATAGGAATAGAATAATAGGAGTTTTATATATTGTAGCATATTCATATACTGTATATATATCAAAGAGTCTAATGAATATTTCAAAAATTTTTATTAATAAAAAACTTTTCTTTTATATAAGGTCTTACAGTCAAACATTTACAAAAAATAATTTTGTTATTATTATTCATTACTTGAACATATTGTTATCCTGTCAATAATTAAAGCCGACTGAAAAACTTTAACACTTTAACAGGTTAACTGGAGTTTAACTTAATAGGAGAGTCTTAAGTTGATCACAAATAATCATGTAAAATAACGTTAGATGTTTAGTTAAAGAAAATAGGTTTTTATTAAAATAATGTAAAATTTTAGATATGACGAAAAATATAGATAATCTTTTGGTTGCGAAATTAACTATCCTGAATTATACTACTGGGAATAATATTCTTTTCGTATAACTCGAAAACTACAATACAACTCTTGACTATCTGTGAAACTAACTAACTTATGAACTGACTGTAAATTAACTACCGTATATCGCGAGCTATAGTACCTCCCCTATGTATAGTACCCCCCTTGAAAAATTTCATAGAATTGTATAGTACCCAGGGGGATATTTTACAATTATCTCGTGATCTAGTGATCAGATTTGAGCCATCTTTTTTTGTTTGATAGCTCTCATTGAGCTCTTCAAAATAAAAAAAGATCGTTCAAATTGGACCAGTAGATCGTGAGATATTCGCAAAAAATGGAATTTTTAGACTTTGTTTAGTACCCAGGGGTACAGGGTCAAACCCCCGATTTTTGCAAGATACCCAGGGTCAGTGTTAATTTTTCGATAAAAAGTTACTGTGCGGACAATGCACAATTTATTGAGTCTTACTGTGCTGCAAAGTGGTATGGCTATACTACTATAATAGGTACTGTAACACATATGCGCCCAATCACATAAGGATATTTCAAAATTTTTTGTGCGCATGCCGCACATCCTTTCTAAAAAAGGTGTGCGCAAAATTCTGATCATGTGCAAGAATCCTTACCTACTGGTTCCAAATTATTATCAATTATTTTATATTCAGATGCAACAACCACAGATACATTAGGAAAAAGTCAATTGCATTCAATATATATTACATTAGGCAATATCCCAATATGGCGTCATAATAAATAGGATGCAAAGCAACTTTTGGGATATTTACCAATTTTAGAAGCTGCAAATAAAGATCTGGTTTGTGATACCTTTCATAAATCTTTACGTCATTTACTAGAACTGATTATTTTATTAAAATATGGTATAGACC